CCCACTGCCTCCGTAGCGCCGCCGCTCGTAGATGCGATGTAGCCTCTCAGGCAGAAACTCAATCTTAATCTAACCTAAACAGATCTCTGAGCCGCCTAGACGGGTTTCCCATCACGCACCCTTAGATCTTCAAAAATAACAGCATGCAATGTACCGAGATCAGCATGGATACAGTTCAAGTTTGCTTCCTTCCCTACTTACGCTAACTACAGGCGATCAGCGTTCCCACCACTGACGGTAGCACTCCCACTGCCTCCGTAGTGCCGCTACCCATATCCGTGGTAGAACGTCTTTCCCGAAACTTCAACCCCTAAGAACACGGAAAACAAGGTGTAAGGAAGAAGGTAGATCTAATCTACATGCGTGGCTTGGCAAATGACGGTGATAGTAAAAGTGAATCTAGTCTGAGGTCTTGGCCAGTAGCAGGATCACGCGAAGCCAATAATAGGAGCAGATTTTACTCTTGAAAAGATGAGAAGATGGTCTTCGTCAACATTAGGTCAGGTGCGGAAACACCGCAAGGACGTCGGTTGCCATCCAACACCATCCACAAGTAGCCTTCCATTCGGAACGGGCATAAAATGCAGCAGGTAAGCATCAATCACGAAAGGTCTGACTACTACCCATAAACCACTTGCCACCATCTTGAGACTGAAAATGGACGATATCAGCGAACTGCATGGCCGTAACCGGAATGTCTACATAGAGCCCCTTGGTGCTTTACACGCGACGGAAGTCTCTTGCTCTGGGAAGTTTCCCCCGGGTAAGTGCCAGCTGCTGTGAATCTGAAATTCAGAATTTTATTGTGGATGGTATTCACAGGCCAAGAAAACAATTAAAGGAACACAGGAGACAAGGTGTGGAGAAGAAATGAATCTAGTCTAATTGGACGGCTAGACAAGGGTATCAACCAAGCTAGTAGAAGGAGGGATGAATCTAGTCTTTGTTTGCGGCCAGAAACAGAGAGCTGTAATTTCGTAACGTCCAAACATAAGCCCACTCTGGTCTACAGATTCAATCGAGCCATTCTGGCCTACAATTTCAGCCATGATCTATGATGCATAACGTTTCGTAAGATCGTTGTAGTTCCATAAGGCGAGGGAAGGACCTAGCCTAGGATGTAAGCGAAAGCATAGTAGTAGGAGGTAGGGTGTAGACAGAAAGGAACACCGTTGAGTGGCCCAAGAAGCTGCCAATCCCACCGCCTGCTGAAGTGCGACTTATCATCCATAAGTTAACAATTCCTCATCGGTAGCGACCAGATTCTGGTCCAACCACTAGTTCCGTTGGAATGATGACACACTTGGAATACCTCCCCGATTCGATGAAAACGCTAGAGACTGAATGAAAAACTAACCCACGGTATGACCGGGCACAGAGGAGAAGGCGGATTATAGCTAAGTCAGTATGAACAAAGTCAGGTCCCTGTACCATTGATCTGAACAGCCACAACAAAATCATCGACAGTCATTTGAGCTCTCCCAAAGGCCAACTGAATACATGTTCGGTATCTCAATCAATGAATGTGGCCCAAGCGAACGGACCAGATGCAGGGGAACCACGGACTGCAGAAGGCGTCAAGGTCGGGGCTCCTCCATGCACTGCAAAGGTTCCTTCTGCAGTTCGATCTTCAGTACCTGCGGTGGCGCTTTTGTGAGCAGGTAGGTGAAGTTCAACCAAATAGGGCACCGCTTCTACAGCACCAAACCATATGAAGCGTTTCGCGAATTCCATATAACCCTTGGAATTGCCGCTGGGGACTAACGTGCGTGCCCTTGGCGACACCAGTCTCGCTCCCACCGCTGTCAGTGGTGCTCCCACTCCTGCTGGCAACGCTGTTACGGATAGCACCTCGAACACATGCGGCAAGCCCCGGACCTCCATGTGGTAACTCGCACTTCCAGCTCAAATGTCTCCACTAATAAAGGCACGGCAAAAATTGAATCCGCAACCTCGGCAGCACATCATGCCGGAGGTGGCTCATGACGTTTCTTGAAGTTTGGTAAGGTTTGATAAGTCATGTGGAGAGGGGCTGCTGGGCTGGCGGCCCGCCCATTCAAGCAGCTGGACACACCAGCACCAGAGCAGAGGCTATGGCTGGCCGAGCAGAAGCACGCCCGTGAACAATCTCCCACTGCCCTGCACGGCACGTGCAACACTGCGCTGAGCACTCTCGATTCTGTCGGTGACGCTCCCACTGCCACAAGTAGCGCTCCCACAGGTACCCGCAACGCCGCAGCCGATAGCGCTCAGGCGCTTAGCGCTGCGCCCCTCCTCTTTTGGTTCGTTTGTTCTTCCTTACCTTTCTTTCTTTCTTTTGTTTTTGTGATAGCAATTCTCCAATCTATTCGGTTTTTTTTTCCCTTTTTTATTTTTTTCCTTTTTTTAATTTTTTTTTTCTCATCCTTCCACCTCTCTCAATATATCTCCTGGCGCACCCCCACTCCTTTTCTAGCTTACCTCATGCGTACTGGAGCAACCTGACCAGACAGCGGACGCGGGCACTGACACTGAATGAGCTCCCCATTCAGCCCCAGTTGAGGCACTAGCGTACAAGCCATATTTATACGGGTACCTCAGGAGCTAGGCGCGAAGTTCTCAACTAGTCCCGTGAGCAGTGAGGGCACCCATAGGAGGGCAGTGTCTAATGGTCGGCTAAGCAAGGTCTAACCCATGAGCCCTCTACCTCTAAGCACCAACCCAGCACGGCGCGGTTCATATATGGCTACTGTTGGTTGTTGAATATGCTGGTTGTTATGTGAGCTAGTGTGATATCATAGTTTTGTATGGATGTATGTGGTTGCTTTCTGCTACTAATGAGCCTTGCTTATGTCTGTTTGCTAGGGAGAATCGACCAGTGGTAATGGTGGAGACCTCGAACCATCCCCGACCAACAGCCGATAACCCACCCCCCCAGAATGGGTCTACAGCCATCGAGAG